GAGCAGGGAGCCCGATGCAGGACTCGATCCCAGGACTCCAGGATCATGACCTGAGCCGAAGGCAGTCGCTTAACCAACTGAGCCACCCAGGTGCCCCATCTTTTTTGACCATTTCTGATCATTTTTTTGGGGTAGAATAAATTCTTTGACTTGGAGTTGCTGGCTAATGTTTAAAGCTTTTACTACATGTGGTCAAATCTACATCTTCGATAAACATCCTCAGAGATCCCAGCTGTCCACCCATTGTCACCAGCTAACTGGTCTCTAGGCCAAGCAATGTGAATAAACAACAAGACAATTTAATAAAAACAATGTAAATGCTGCCATTTGTTAGCGCATGTCTGTGTCAGGAATTATATTAAGAGTCTACTTATGTTCCTCTTTATCCTCATAATAACCCTCTGGGGTGTGGGTATCATAATCTCCATTTTAAAAATGAGGACATTAAGGTTCAGATAAGTTAAGTAACTTGCTTAAGATCACAAGCCAGTAAATGGCAGTCAGAATTCATGCTTGGGCCTATTGGACTCTACACCCTGCGTTCTTGTGTGTGGCTATACTCTGGTGACTGGAGGCTTCGCCAGAGCCAGGCCCCAGGAGGCGTTAGCAGCCCCCGTGGGCCATGTGAGCTAGAGTGGCCTACAGCCTATTACAGTGCCTGGGGGGGGCTCTCTTTTCTCCAAGAGATGAAGCTGTGGGTCTGAGGTCTGGCCCAACCTGTTGGGGGAATGTGGGCTTAGGGTGTGGCTGCTTCATTAGTGCCTCAGCCTGGAGTTTTCTGTCAGCCTCAAGGAACTCTTGCAATAATGCATTATTCCTGCACAGGGTTTTCTGGCCAAGAATTTGCAAGCTGAAGCTCTCTGCAAACTTGATAGGAGAGTAAAAGCCACAACTGAGCAATTTATGAAGATCTTGGAAGAGATTGACACACTGGTAAGTAAATATTGAGCTGAGAAGAACTAGTTTCCTTTGACTATGTTTCAGTCATGTTCACTCAGTAATGCACTCTTATTGTCTGAGCATACTGAGGGCCTACTATGTGCCAGACAGTGCTCAGTCCTTGGTGGATACACAGAAAGACCAAGATAGTTCTGGATTTTTAGGCACTCACATCGCACCAACATAGGGCTTTTGTCATTTTTATTTATGTATGCTAAAAGCATGTAATCCTCACAAAGGTGGGACCCAAATGGACCATGATTTTATGGTTAGAGAAACACAGGGCTTCATGATACTCATGTGACTGATTATCTGATTATTACTGGGCTCATTACCTGTACAGAAGTCAGTCAGACCCAGCTCTTGTGAGACTGTTGAGAATCATTGACTCCCACGTTCCCTTTTACAGAATGACAGTAATGATATTTCTAGACGGCTGCCTCATTTTTTTTTTTTAAAGATTTTATTTATTTATTTTTGAGAGAGCGGGAACACGAGCGGGGGTGGGGGGCAGAGGGAGAAGCTGACTCCCTGCTGACCAGGGAGCCCCATGCAAGACTCCATCCCAGGACTCTGGGATCCCCAACCTGAGCCAAAGGCAGATGCTTAATGACTGAACCACCCAGGTGCCCTGATGCCTCATTTTTTTTTTTTTTAAGATTTTATTTATTCATTTGACAGAGAGATAGTGAGAGAGGGAACACAAGCGGGGGAGTGGGAGAGGGAGAAGCAGGCTTTCCGCTGAGCAGGGAGCCTGACACGGTGCTCGATCCCAGGACCCTGGGATCATGACCTGAGCTGAAGGCAGATGCTTAACAACTGAGCCACCCACTCTGCCTGGGATTCGGGGGGAGTGAGGGTAGTTGTAAAGAAGCACAGTGAGCTCATGGCATGGCCAGGACATAGTATCTGTACATAGGAAATAGAGAAAGGACAAAGTCCATGTTACAGATCAGTTTCCATGGCGCAGACATGTTCTCCCATGAGAACAAAGGGAGCTTTAATAGGGGTGAGAGCCATGGGAAGGGCCATGTAGGATACAGATCAAGGATACATTCCTGAACATGCACGTCTCATTCACTTTGGTGTACTATGGGTATTTTGTCATGTTGTTATGTCACTTTTATTGAGATTATTTATGTGTCAACTTATTTTTCCACAGATTCTGCCAGAAAATTTCAAGGACAGTAGACTGAAAAGGAAGGGTTTGGTGAAAAGGGTTCAAGTGAGTTGTGTGGTGAAGCATTACAAAGTTTAATGTGTTGGTGTGTGTGTTTATGTGTGCAGAGTAGGATAGGGTAGAGGTGTGATGTGTGATGTGGACTTTCTTTTGGTTGTTATTTCCTGAGCCCAGAACATAAGAGAAGAGCTCTTTTCATATCCCTGTAATTACATTTGAATGTAAGCTCATTGAGGAGGAAGGTGGCTAGAGAACAGTTATGATGGCCATGTTACACAATTCCAGGAGGCACTGTTCATGTGAACACTGTTCCCTGAACTTGTGCAGTACAGTGGCGAGGCTTCCTGTTCTCACCACCCTTCTGGGGGCTTGTCAGAAAGCCTGGTCCTACGCTGCCCTCTGTCTCCCTCCCCTTACCTGGGAGCCCAGGTTGGCTCCATCCCTCCACAGCCCGTTTTGAGTTGGTCACCCGCGGGTTCCCCATAATGGCTGAGCAAAGAGCCTTGCATGGGCAGGGAGTGGCTGGCCCCAGATAGTCCCTCACTGCCCTGCATTCCTGTTTTAGGCATTCCTAGCTGAGTGTGACACGGTGGAGCAGAACATCTGCCAGGAGACAGAGCGGCTACAGTCCACGAACTTGGCCCTGGCTGAGTGAGGTGAGGCAGCGATAGGCGGGGCTGTCCTGAAGAACAGCGCCCCCAGCTCTGCCCTCTCTGGGACTGAAGTGACCTGATTTCTCCAGGGCTGCTGGGGACAATTGGCCACTTGCCAGTTTTCCTGCACTCCCCCTGTTCTCAGTGAACAAGTGTTGTCTGCAGTCCGCCGTGGAGCTCCTGTCTGTTTTCTCTTTCCGTCTCCGTGCAGCTGTGCCGTCCAGCAGCCCACCCTGTCTGGAGGGGGCCTCCCCTGCCCATCTTCCCAGTTCTTTCGACCTTGGGGTGCTTTCCTTGGGCTGGCGAGACCTCTCATTAATGTTGGAGTAATTCTGGGTTTATAGGCCACCCCTGTCTTCAGATTCATGAGGCCTTTTTGCCCTTGTGATTCCGTAGCCTGTCGATGTAACCCAGAATCACCAGGAAGTTACAGCTAGTCAGGAATGTTGGGAGTGGCTCAGAACAGGTGTTTGGCACACAGGATAGTCCAAGTATCCCTCGTTGTAACCGAATTCTGGAACAGGTGGCTGGGTGATTGGTTTACAGACCCTGACCTCATCTCCCAGTGACCCTGCCCAGCCACAGGCCATGAGATCTCAGAGGCCCATTCCTGGGGTGGGGCTCGTATTGATGCGTGGACTTCCTTGTCCTTAAGTAAATCTTTAGAAGGTTAGAACCTAGTGATGACTGAATCTCTGCTTGAAACCAGGTCACAAGTATGGCTTGGGGGTACAGAGAGAGGAACCACAGGGAGGCAGGTGATGAAGGCAACCATAAACTTCTAAGGCGTTCCTCAAAGGCATTTCTGTTCATTGTACCCTTCTGACGTCAGTGTTTCCTTCAAGGCTGTTCCTATTTGTTTTGTGGCCCCCTCCACTGTTATTTTTTTTAAAAAGCAGTTTATGTACACGTCCGCAAGCAAAAGAATGTTTGAACTTTTTTTGATGAAATATGAGAAGCAAAAGCCTTCTGTGGTTCTAGCTGTAATTTGTGTTGAATAAAGTCAAGAGTGGCCCTGTATGCTAGAACTCGTAACCGGGTCAACTGCTATCACCCCATTTTTTCACACAGTGCCCAGGAGACAGGCATCCAATAGGCCACTCTGAGGCCGACCTTATTTGGCAGAGAGGGAATCACTGAAGCCCCAGGAACTTAGGCCTATGCGGGTGTGACCTAGGACAGGGGTGGACACGTGGATGAGGCTCAGCCTAGCCCGGCCCACTTCCCACTTGAATCAGCAGTTCAGTATTTATATGATCGTTTTTGTATGGTAGCTGTGTGGTGTTGGGCCAAAACACGTAATGAGAAGTCCCTGTGTGCGGGTACTGTTCTGAGTTCTTCAGGTATATTAGTCATTTAATCCTCAGACATTCTAGGAGGCAGACAGATACTGTCCCCATGTTAGAGGTGAGGAAGCAGAGAGCTCAGGTAATTTCTCAAGGTCCTAAGTGGCAAAGCCAGGATACAAAGCTAGGTGGTTTGATTCAGAGCCCACGCTCTTCACTTACTGCCTCCCCCCACAGCATGGGCTCGCTCGCTCTCATCCGTCTCCCTCCCCCTTGTTGGTCTCCACTTCCCGGCTGGCCTTCTGCAGAGCAGTTTCTCTACAGAACAGGTGGGGTGGTCATAAAGTGCAGGTCTTAGCATGTCAGTCCCCTGTGCATAAAGGCCAGAGTCCTTTCCTTCAGTGCTCTCCCTTTCATCCCCGGCCACTGGCCTGTTTGCTGTGTGCTGTTCTGCACGCTGGGATTCCAGATGCTCTGTGCCTTCTCCTGCCTTCGGGTCTCTGCATATGCTGTTCGTCTGTTGGACAGCTCTTCACCATCTCTCCCCCACCCCTTTCCTAGGTAGTAACTCCTGTTCATCCCTTGAACTTAACTCAAATGTCTCTTCATGGAGAAACCTTATCTACTGTCAGAGAACATATCAAACCCCCCAGGTGATATCCTTTCACAATTTGCCATAACTTTTCTTTATGATAAATAGCATGATAAACCATGAGTTATTTGTGGGATTATTTGATTAATATTTACCTCTAACCCTAGACTCTAAATTTCTTGGGTTAAGGGGCTTCTTTGTCTTGTAACAGCATATTTTAAGCACATTGTCTATTTATAATAGGTGCTCAGTAAATATTTGGAGAGGGGCACCTGGGAGGCTCAGTCCGTTGAGCGTCTGCCTTCGGCTCAGGTCGTGATCCCAGGGTTCTGGGATCGAGCCCCGCATCGGGCTCCCTGCTCGGTGGGGAGCCTGCTTCTCCCTCTCCCAC